CAACTGCAGGGCCCTCTGCACATGCTTCCCTAACTCCATTGCATTCACTGTCAATTTCTTCTTGGGTCACCTCCCTTCACCCAGGTGCTCCTCTGCAGTGAGAAATGGCCTGCTCCTACTCAACTTGCTTTTGTGCAACCACCACACTCTGGGAGACCAGATTATAACCCGAGAGCTGAGAGACACCTTGTTTAGGCACTCAGGGATAGCACCGGGGACAGAACCTATGCCGACCACACGCACCGTCCTCATGATGCTTCTTAACCGCTATTCAGAGCCACCAGGCAGTCCTGAGCATACAGGTACTCCTGTGGAGTGGGGGGCTGGTTCTGCTGAGAAATCATACAGTGCCAGCCTTTGGCCAGGAAGGCTAAGGTTTACATACCAGCTCCTTACTGGAAAGACACAAGAAATTTTCAGGAAATGAGTGAGCATCATAGTGCTCAAGTTAGGGCTTAAGTAGAACTTCGTGACCAAGAGGAGAGGGAGACTCTAGAACAAGTACAAGGAAACTGCCTTCTCTGAATGACTTTAAATATAAGTGGTTCTTGTCTTGTCTGGGTTAGGTCTGGTTCAGTTTCACTGGACAGTAGATTGGTTGAAATGACATCTAGAGAGGCCTTCTTAAGAGTTGCAATTTATGGTATAGAAAGTTTGTGACTAGAAATATGAAATATGGGGAAGAAATGCTTTGTGATTAAAAAACAAGTGAAAATCCACAAGTACAAGGGATATTGAAAGGGCAATATGTAGCTTTAAAGTCTTTATATCTAAAGCTACCATGCAGGTGGTATAAGGATGTAATTATAATGCTAGTATTTGTTATAGCTAACATTTAATAAAAAGGTAATCATATGATTGTATGAGATTAAAAAATGTGTTTTAACTTGACAGTGTTTGCTATACTAGATTTTTTAAAGAATGTAGTTAAGTATATATCTAGGACCAGAAAAGAAAATCTGTTGTAGTTTGACATCCTCAATATGGGAGGAAATGTTGGATTGATTTTCTGGACATTCCCATTTCTTGGTTTAACTAACTAGTAAGACTCTTCTTTATATACATTTTTCCCCTCCGGTGTGTCTGGGCTGCAGCACTGGAGACCCCCAGCACCCAGGGCCAGGATGGGTCCCCTGAGCTACTGATTCGATCCCTGGTGGGGGGCCCATCTGCAGAACTACTCTTGGACTTGGAGCGCACACTATGCCATGAGGCTAGCCCAGGGAGTGCAGTGAGGCCTCTTCTCAAGCGCCTCCAGCAAGAGACCCAGCCCTTTCTCCTGTTGCTGAGGACTCTGGATGCTCCGGGGCCCAACAAAACTCTGCTGCTGACTGTGCTAAGGTAAGGGGCCTGTTGAGGCACCCATGTGTTGGGGCAAAGGGAGCTGGCAGCATGTAAGGACTTCACTTCTTTCCATCCCCTCACCAGGGTCATGGTCCGACTGCTGGATTACCCGGAGGCAATGGTCCTCCCCTGGCATGAGGTCTTGGAGCCCTGCCTCAACTGTCTGAGTGGCCCTAGCAGTGATCCTGAGGTACCAGAGCCTTGGCAAAGGTGGGGGAGGTAGAGGCACAAACTGCGTTATGAGGCTGTGGAGGGGGGAGAGAAGAGCCTTTCTGAATAGGGCTCAGGGTGCTGGGGTGGGTGGATAGAAAGAGTAGTGCTAACATCATCTAAGAGGTTCTAGAACTGGGGTCCTTTGGCTGGACCTGGATTTTAGTTTCTGGGTTTAGGAGAAGTTCATGTTCACCAATCCAAACAGTCCTTACTCTCCACCTCAAGGGTTTGTGCATTATACAGTGAGGTTCAGACACCAAGGTTAGCTCTTGAGAGATAATTTGGCCCTGGCAGAAAGAAGCCTGGGAAGCTGTAGCCAAGCTCTGCTACTGACAACTTACTCTAAAGTCCCAGCACCCCTATTTCTCTTCCACCCTATCGTTTGTGTTCTCCTTTCCCTGGGCTTTTGCATTTCTCCAAAACCTTAGCCACTATGCTTGCTATACTAAACCCATCCCTTAACCCTTATACACCCTGCCCTTTGTTTCTCTTAAATTAATCCTTGTGCCTCTGGGGTCAGATTGTTCAGGAGCTGATCTCCTTCTTGCATCGCCTGGCCTCAATGCATAAGGACTATGCTGTAGTGCTTTGTTGCCTGGGAGCAAAAGAAGCCCTCTCCAAAGTCCTGGACAAGCACTCAGCTCAGCTGTTGCTGGGCTGTGAGCTTCGAGACCTGGTGGCAGAGTGTGAGAAACATGCACAGCTCTATAGCAAACTTACCTCCAGCATCCTGGCTGGCTGCATCCAGGTGAGGGGGCTTATAAGTCTGGAGCTAAGGGAATGTAAATCAGAAGCATGGGAGGGGGATTCAGTCTGTTCCTTCTTTGGTATCCCTGTTTGGCACAGGTAGTAGCAAATCTGGGGCACTTGTTCCCTAACCTTTACTCTACGTGGTTCTGTCAAAATATGAGGAGAAAGGGGTTGAGTGTTCTATTGCACCTTGACTTTTTCCTCTATCCCTGTTTCTGGATGTTTCTCCATATTCCTCCCTCTCCCCTTCCTGTTTTTCTCAATATTCCGGCTGCAGATGGTGCTGGGCCAGATAGAAGACCACAGACGAACTCACCAACCCATCAATATCCCCTTCTTTGACGTGTTCCTCAGGCATCTCTGCCAGGGTTAGTGCCCCCATCTGTCTTCTCTTGGCTCCCATCCCGCATCTGTTCTCTCCTTCCCTTCCTGATCCCTACTCTCTTCTTTTTTTCTCTCTCAACTAACCAGACTGTGACCTCCACCCTTTCCCACTTGTCCCCAGGCTCCAGTGTGGAAGTGAAGGAGGACAAGTGCTGGGAGAAGGTGGAGGTGTCCTCCAACCCTCACCGGGCCAGCAAGCTGACAGACCGTAACCCCAAAACCTACTGGGAGTCCAACGGCAGCACTGGCTCCCACTACATCACCCTGCACATGCACCGTGGTGTTCTTGTTAGGTGTGAACACAACCATGTGTGTGCTCATGTGCATGCGCACACACGCATTCTGTTATTCCCCAGTATTTCTCCCCAATGTACCTATGTACACACAACCCCATCTATAACCCCAATGCCCAGGGACACACTTAAACCCATTTTGTGTGGCAAACAGAGAACACATTTCACTGTGGTGAGTATAGACATTTCCTCACTCCCTGAGCCTAGTGATTTGTACCTCAATGGTACCAATGTCACTGCCCTGTACTTAGTGTTTTGGGGTTTTTTTGAGAGTCTCACTATGTTGCCCTTGGTAGAGTGCTGTGGCATCACAGCCCACAGCAACCTTAAACCCTTGGGCTTAAGTGATTCTCTTGCCTCAGCCTCCCAGGTAGCTGGGACTATAGGTGCCCACCACAATGCCTGGCTATTTTTTTTTAATTTTTATTAAATCATAGCTGTGTACATTAATGCAGTCATGGTGTACAGTGTGCTGGTTTTATATACAATTTGAAATATTTTCATCAAACTGGTTAACATAGCCTTCATGGCATTTTCTTAGTTATTGTGTTAAGACATTTATATTTTACATTTAGAAAGATTCACATGTATTTTTTTGTTGCAGTTGTCATTATTTAGCTGGCCCAGGCTGGGTTCAAACCCTCCAACCTCGGTGTATGTGGCTGGTGCCATAACCACAGTGCTACGGGTGCAGAGCCATGTGCTTAGTGTTGAGGGAAATCAACAACTCACCATTTCTCCTGTGGGCATTTGTTTAATACCAGGCTTTTATGCCAGGCACTGTGCAGAGGAGCTACATGGGCCATAAGATAGGGCCTATGTTTGGGGATCTTGTGTTCTAGTTGGGGAGCCAGGCTAAAATATCAGTAAGAGCACAGGGTAAAGAGAAATATTATAGTTGACATGAACCTTGGATCCCGAGGCATACTGCAGGCTCAGAGGAGGCTTCCTTCTGGAAGGAAGGGATGATTGAGCTGAATTTTGAAATTGAAATTAGCTAGATAAAAAGGAGGCAGCAGATTTTCCAGGAATAAAGATAGTGTACATGCAAAATGAAAACAAAGTGTCATATTTAGAGGAACTTTAATTGTATTTGGCTAGAATGAAGGGTGTGCATATCAGAGGGACAAGCACTGAAGCCAAAAGTTGGCGCAGATCAAAACGAGTTTCTTCAGCTAGCAAGTTTGAACTTTATTCCCATACTTGGAGAGCCATTGAAGGGTTTTAAGAAGAGAAGAGGCAAAACTAGGTTTTTAAAGAAAGCTGACTCTGGCAATTATGGGAGTTTGGGATAGAGGCCAGGAGAAAGAAGTGGAAGGTTTATGCAGTGATCTAGTTGAGAAATTATCAGTGTGTTTAGTTAGGTGGCAGGAATAAGAGTAGAGGGGAAAGAATGGACTGGGAAATACTTGGAGGTGAGACCTACAGTACTTGCCGTTGATTGGGTAAGTGATGCCATGAGAGGGAAAGGTCCACAGTGACAGTGTGTTCTTCTTTGGGGTACTGGGTAGATGGCAGTCTTTTTTTTTTTTTTTTTGAGATGGAGTCTCAAGCTGTCCCCCTGGGTAGAGTGCTGTGGCATCACTCACAGCAATCTCCAACTCCTGGGCTCAAGGGAGTCTCCTGCCTCCGCCTCCCAAGTAGCTGGGACCACAGGTGCCTGCCACAACGCCTGGCTATTTTTTTTGGTTGCAGCCATCATTGTTGTTTGGCAGGCCTGGGCTGGATTCGAACCTGCCACCTTAGGTTTATGTGGCTGGTGCCTTAGCCACTTGAGCCACAGGCGCCGAGCCTAGATGGCAGTCTTACTTCTTAGGAGAGAAGGAAGGCAGGAAGGTTTGTGTGGACAGTTTATATTTTATTAGGGCATGTGGGCTTTGTGGTACCTGTGGGACATGACATGGAAATGTCTGTTGGGTACACACCATGAAGGCTCAGGGGAGCAGTCTGGGCTAGAGGTGAGGATTTGGAGTCATTTGTATATAATTGTCAGGTGAAACTATGGGTTTAAATGAAGCCACTTTGGGGAAACACAAAGGAAAGAGGAGAGGATCTGGGGAAGACTGATGTGTCAGAGCCAGCAGAGGAACAAAAACCTAAGAAGAAAGTGATGGGTTGAAGTTTTGTGGTTGGTTTAGTTTTATTTTGTTTTCATTTTTTCGTGGCTGGGCTAGCGTGTAATGGTGTCATCAAAGCTCATTGCAACCTCAAATTCCTGGGTTCAAGCAATCCTGCTACCTCTGCCTCCCAAGTAGCTGGGACTATAGGTATTCACCACCATGCCCAGCTAATTTTATTATTTTTTGTAGAGATAGGGTCTTACCTTGTTTTCCATGCTGGTCTTAAACTCCTGGGCTCAAGTAATCCTCCCACCTTAGTTTCCCAAAGTGTTGGGAATACAGGCCTCAGCCACTGCACTGGCCAGGTTACAGTAGTTTTGAACTATGAGCAGAGCTCAGGTTTGACTGTTTCCTTTCTCCTTTCCTAGGCAGCTCACTCTGCTGGTGGCCAGTGAGGACTCAAGTTACATGCCTGCCAGAGTGGTGGTGTTTGGGGGTCACAGCACCAGCTGCATCAGCACTGAGCTCAATGCGGTGAGGACCCTTGTGCCCCATTCACCTTGCTCCTGCCCTTCTGTTTGCCCAAAGGCCTTGTTATGGGAAGGACACAGTCCCTGGGGAATGGCCACGTCCCTTTCCCTGAGAAGGCATCACCTTGTAAACAGCAAGAGTAGAATTAGGGATGTGGAGCCATGTAGGTTCCTGGGCTCAGTGCAGGAGAAGTGAAGGGCACATAGCATAACCAACTTGGTTGTTGTCAACAGTTTTTCCAGCCCCACTTCTGGAGGTAACAGCTTACCTTCTCCCTCCTTTTCCTCACCCTGCCAGGTGAATGTGATGCCCTCTGCTAGCCGGGTGATCCTCCTAGAAAACCTGAACCGTTTCTGGCCCATCATCCAGATCCGCATAAAGCGCTGCCAGCAGGTGGGGTGAGGGAAGAAGCTGGGGGTTGAGGATTAGAAGGTAGCACAGGGTCTCTATAGTAGCTGGATTCTCTAACATTTGGGGAGCCTTGGTCTGCTTGAGAGATGGTTAAGTTCCAGAAATGTGGAGATGCCCTAAGCAGCTCTAGGAAACTCAGGGTATGAGGCCTGGATCTGGTAGTCCTTAGTGGTTCAGGTGACAGATAAGTCTTTGCATGTGTTACAGGGTGGCATCGACACCCGGGTTCGGGGTGTGGAGGTCCTGGGCCCCAAACCCACTTTTTGGCCACTATTTCGGGAGCAGCTGTGTCGCCGTACATGCCTCTTCTACACAATTCGGGCACAAGCCTGGAGCCGGGATATAGCAGAAGACCGCAAATGCCTCCTCCGGCTCTGTCCCAGGTGGGTGGGACACAAGGAGGGAAGATGGTTAAACAATCAGGACACTTCAAGAAGTAGGTAATGGAAGCTATGCTTCTATGGGAATCTGAAAGGTAAAGCTGCAGTCAGGACAGGAAAGGAAAAGTGAATATAGGTGAGAAGTGTTTCTGTTAGGGAAGACTTGGGTAAGGGACCAAGCATGGGGTGACTGGGAGTTGATTTGCACTTGACTGGAGGCCCGGGAAGTCTGTGCTTTTAATCTGTGACCATACTGTTTGTTTCCAGATTAAACAGGGTTTTGCGCCACGAGCAAAATTTTGCTGATCGCTTCCTCCCTGATGATGAGGCCGCCCAAGCATTGGGCAAGACCTGCTGGGAGGCCCTGGTCAGCCCCCTGGTGCAGAACATCACCTCCCCTGGTAACCATCCCAGCACCTGGCCCTACTAACCAGCTCCTTGTAATTATTCCCAGGGATAACCTGAGTTAATACTCTTGGTTCTCTTGGTTCCTGTCTTTATCCCTGAAGGCCTGCCACCTCAGTGTTCCTCTCTCCTTCCTGCCCCAGGGACTGCTCCCTGAGACTCTGGTATTTGAATCTTCCCTGCCACCTCACCCTGTTACCATATCCCCAGACTCCAGCTGAAGCAGACGTTGGTGAGGGGAGGATGTAGGGCCCTGCTGCTCCCAAACCTTTTTGTACAATTGCTCTTCCTCCCTCCTCTGCCCTGGGCTGTCTGTCGCCCCATTTCCCATAGAGACTGTTCCTGTCCTATCTTCTTTCAGATGCGGAAGGTGTGAGTGCCCTGGGATGGCTGCTACATCAGTACTTAGAGCAAAGAGAGAACTCTCGGAAACCCTTGAGTAGAGCAGCATCCTTTGCTTCTCAAGTTCGTCGCCTTTGCCACTTACTGGTTCACGTGGAGCCTCCTCCTGGGCCGCCTCCTGAGTCATCCACTAGGCCCTGTAAGTAGCAGCTGTGGCCACTTGAGCTAAGTCCTTGGGAAGTGTGATATCTGGCTCCTTTCTCCTCCCTGGATTTTACTTTCCTTACTGATTCGCTATGAGCTTTGCCAGGCCCCTGGCACCTCTGGGCCTTTTGAAAGGGTCAGCACCCAAGAACTGTATGCTCACTCAGGCTAAGATGAGTGCCCTCTGTCTCTGCAGTCAGCAAGAACAGTAAGAGTCGGGATCGGAGCCTGGAACCTTCACCAGTTCTTCCAAGCAGCACCCTGAGGAACATAAGCCAGTGCTGGCTGAGCGTGGTGCAGAAGCAGGTGGGCAGAAGAAGCTGGAGTCTGAGGAGAAGAGAGGCTGCTCTGTTTATGTTATTTCTTGCCTTTTCTTTTCAGGTCAGCAGATTCCTAGCTGCCGCCTGGAGGGCCTCAGACTTTGTGCCTCGTTACTGTAAACTCTATGAACACTTGTGGAGAGCAGGCTCAGAGCTGTTTGGGTCTCGGGCAGCCTTCACCTTGGCTCTGCGCAGTGGCTTCTCTGGAGCCTTGCTGCAGCAGTCCTTCCTCACTGCGGCTCATGTGAGTCTCACCAGCCAACCTGACCAACCATGGGCCATAAGCTCATCTTCACGTTCACCTCTTTTCATACTCCAGACTCCTATTCTACTCTCCTGTTCCATTTTTCATAGTTTGCTTGTGCCCTTTCCATTGCCCCCAGATGAGCGAGCAGTTTGCTAGGCACATTGACCGACATATCCAGGGTGGCCTGATTGGTGGAGCCCCTGGAGTGGAAATGCTGGGGAGGCTTCAGCGGCACCTGGAACCCATCATGGTCATTTCTGGCCTGGAGCTGGCCACAACTTTTGAGCACTTCTACCAGTGAGTGCAGGTCCAGAAAGGTAGGAGGTGGGATTTCCAGATTCTAAAGAAGGGGAAGTTTTGAGTCTTAGCAGGAAGATGAAGTAAGAGACAGTGGGAAGGAAAGATTAAGTTGTGGAGATGGCCATGCACTGGAGGAAAGGGAGTGGTAAGGAAGAGGTGAAGTAGGGCCTGTGACTCAGGCTGCAATAGAGGGACCTACATTCTGGAGTGGGAGGCTGGACCACTCTGGCACCCTTGCTAAGCCTTGGCCCGGGCTGCATGCTGCAGGCACTACATGGCAGATCGTCTCCTGAGTTTGGGCTCAAGCTGGCTGGAAGGAGCCGTGCTGGAGCAGATTGGCCTCTGCTTCCCCAACCGCCTGCCCCAGCTGATGTTGCAGAGCCTGAGTACCTCTGAGGAGCTGCAGCACCAGTTCCACCTATTCCAGCTCCAGCAGCTTGACAAATTATTCTTGGAGCAGGAGGATGAGGAGGAAAAGGGACTGGAGGAAGTGGAGGTAAGAGCAAGGAGAAAGAGTGAGACAATAGAGTAGGGATCCTAGACCAAAGAAAAGGAGCCCAAGGACCCTTGAAATCTTTCTGTCCCTCAGGAGGAAGAAGAGGAAGAAGAGGCTGAAAAAGAACTATTTATTGAAGATCCAAGCCGAACAGTTTCTATACTGGTCCTGTCACCACGCTGCTGGCCTGTCTCCCCACTCTGTTACCTGTACCATCCCAGAAAGTGTCTTCCCACAGAATTCTGTGATGCCCTTGACCGTTTCTCCAGTTTCTACAGCCAGAGTGAGGAGCTAGGGAGAGGAAATTGGAGATTGGGGTGAGATTTGGGATGGCAAGAGAGAAAAAGGAGAGGACTTTTGGATAAGAGTGTGTAGATAAGTAGAAAAATATAACAATCCTAGACAAGGGTGAAAAAATATGGGTTGTAGTTTTATTAGTTTCTGCTTTTAGCAGTTCCTTCAACTTTCTATGAATTTGTTTTATTTTCTTTTTCTAACTTCAAGTTAGTTGCTTACTTAATTTTTAGTCTTTCCAGACCTTTGTTCAAATAGATTATTAAGGATATTCATTTGCCTCTCAGTATTATTTTAGCTGCATTCTATAACATTTTCTTATTTTAAAATGTTTTATTGGAGTATAACTAGTATTCAGAAAAGTGTACATTTTTAATTATAAGGCATAATGAATAATTTCCATATACATCCATATATCCACCACCTAGATCAAGATGCAGAATATTTTTAGTGCCCCAGAAAGCTTCCTCCTTCATGTCTCCTTCCCAGTGTCTTCCTCCAAAAGAAACCATCATTCTTCCCTTTATCAGCTTAGATTTGTGCTGATATTTGAACATATAAGTGGATCATAGAGTATTCTACTGTGTCTGATTTCTTTTGTACAACATAATGTCTATAGGAGTTATCTTGGTTATTAGTTCTATCATTGGTTCTTTTCTATTTGCTGAGTCATATTCCATTGTATGAATGTTTACCGTTTCTGCTGTTTATGGACATTTGGGATGTTCAGTAAGTTGTTTTTTTAGATAGGATTTTTATTATTTAGTTCCAAGAATTTTCTAATTTCCATTATTGTTTCATTTTTGATTAGTTTTTTTAAAGTATATTTTTAAATTTTCAAATAAATTATTTTTGTTCAGTTATTTTTTTATGTTAGATTTCTACCTTCATTCCCTTGAGGCCAAAGAACATGGTTCTGTGATTCTGAATATTTACAATTTACTGAGACTTCCTTTATGGTCTATTAGGTGGTCAGATTTTATGTTTCATGTGTGTTATGTTTCACGTGTGTTATGTTTCATGTGTATATTTATGTATGAGATGTATTCGGCTGAATGGGGAGGCTCATGCCTATAATCCTGGCACTCTGGGAGGCTGAGGTGGGTAGATTGCTTGAGCTCAGTTGTTCAAAAGCAGCCTGAGCAAGAGCGAAACCTCATCTCGACTAAAAATAGAAAAACTAGCCAGGCATCGCTGTGGATCCCTGTAGTCTGAGCTACTTGGAAGGCTGAGGTAGGAAGAGCATTTGAGCCCAAGAGTTTGAGGTTGCTGTGAGCTAGGCTGACACAACAGCGCTACCCAGGGCAATGGAGTAAGACTCTGTCTCAGAGGAAAAAAGAGAAAGAAGAAGGTATATTCTTCTGTGATTAGGTACAAGAGTCTACATATTTCAGTAAATTGACCTTGTTAATTCTATTGTTCACATCTTCTGTATCCTTACTAATTTTTTTCTACTTGATCTGCTACTGAAAGAGGTGTGCTAAAATTCACCATTATGATAGTGAACTTTTGAACTGTTAATCATGTCAATTTTATTTCATATATGTATATGTACATATAGTTGGCTATATTATTAGATATAAGTTTAAAATTATTGGGCAGTGCCTGTGGCTCAAAGGGATAGGGCACCGGCCCCATATGCCGGAGGTGGGTTCAAACCCAGCCCCAGCCAGAAAAAAAAAAAAAACCTGCTAAAATTATTTAACAGTGCCATCTAGTAGAACTTTCTGCAGTGGTGGAAAAGGCTTTGATTTGCACTATTCAATGTGATAGCCATTTGTACCTATTAACCACTTGGAATGTGGCTAATACAACTGAGGAACTGAATATTTAATTTTATTCCATTTTAAATAGTTTAAATTTAAATAGTTACATGTGCTTAGTGGCTACCATAATAGACTATACAGGTGTAGAAACTTCAGGATAAATTAAACCTTTCCATTATTATGAAGTTGCCTCCCTTCTTTCTAATAAAACTTTTTCTGGCTTGGCGCCTGTGGCTCAACCGGCTA